TCTTATTAATACAGAATTTGTGGGGAGAATGGGGAGTAAATTAACTTTGCTCGGCCAGGGATATAGCTCAGCGGCACAGTGCCTGCCTGGCAAGCACAAAGTTGTGAGTTTGATTTCTGGTTCCCCCAGACATCTTTAAAAAAAATCAGTTTACTGAATTTCCATAAACCAAAGGGAATTTGCAAAGTGATTAACTATTCTAGGATTCTTTCTTCATTGGAACAATTCATTTTAATGGTGCTTTATTAAACAAAAGTTGACATGGAGGACAATATTCATTTGAATTACACACGCTGTCCTTGCATGATGCAGAGTGATCGCACATTTGAGTAACAGGTAACTGAAAATGAAGAGCAGTACATCAGAGCTTGTTCACCTGGGGATTTCTGCCTCAGGCAGCAGGTGGAAAAGTCTGGAGACACCTTTCGCTACCATCGGAAGTGTATGTACAGTGCTACTGGTGACAAATAGATAGAGGCCAGAGACCCTGCTGCAGCACACAGGACAGTCCTCTTGGCGGAGAACCAGATGACCTCACACGGAGGCTGCCCAGGCTGCAGAGCCTGCCTGAGCTGGGCCTGACCCGCCTTGCCTCTACCTGACTGTGGCCATCGTTTCTGTACCCCGAGTCCCTGGGGCACTACTTTATGTCACACGCTAGTAACCAATCCTATGGTGCCTGTGACAGCACGAGCTCCCTCACTATTACATTCTCAGGAGCATAAATCTTATCTTGTCAACCAGCACAGAACCTTCTGGAGAGCTCCAGGGTCCGTCTCGGTAGAATGCACTGCATGAAGTCAGTGCCCACCATCTATTTGTCAATATGATTTACCTGATAATTTCTAATTTCTTGAATGCTTAAAATGAAATGAAAGACTCAGAGCAATCCTAGTAATTACTTCCTTCTGAGAAAGATGTCTTCATTAAATGTCTCTTATTTCTTAAAGGTTTAAGAAGCTATCTATCTATTCCTTTGCCTCCGTAGGGACATATGAGAAACAAATTTTCCCTTATTTTGAACTGCACAGAAACTTATCATGAGATTAACACAAACTTGGACTTTTGAATATGGAGCTATCAACATTCCAGCCTTTACGTTCACTGTGTGGACAATCAGTAATTACTGTATTTTAGCAACCGTAATGAATCTAACGCCTGCTGTTAAATCCTAGTCACTGAACTCAGTTTGTCACTACACGCATTTATAGAATGTGTTCGTGTCACCTCTCTCATGTTACCTGATCCTCTCACATCTTTTTCGCTTTCTTCCTCTTTCCAAAAACTGAGACATTGAAATCAATTATTGATCTCCCATTGTGGGGGATGAGGTGTCACTTTGTAGGCCCAACCCCCTCTAACCTGCAATTTACAATAGCCGCCCTGGTATGCGAGAAGGAGGTAGAACGGGAATGCCTGTTCTCAGTGAGCCCTCACCCTCTGGAATCCATACTGTGAGCTGGCTTTGTTTTGCAGAAGTCTTGAGGAAGTGGCTGGCCACCCTTTGTGACACTAACAGCAGACAAATTAACAACATTCTTGAGCTAATGAATTTCTTCCTGGGCTAGAGAGGTTATGAGAACTGGTTGTGATTATTTACTTCACTTAGATAGTTTTAGAATAAACATTGTAGTCTGTCACGTTGTAGCTTGCCACAAAGAATGCCTTTTCACTACTTAATTATCTGGGCTCTGTGAATTGATCGGGTTTACTATATATGAATCCTAAAATAAAGATTGTGCGTACAGTGCAGTGCAGTGCAGTGTAACGCGGTGCAGACAGCAAAGGTGTCTCTCCTGTCTTTCTTTTCCAAGCGCTGTACCCCCCGTGTCCCGACAAGGCGTGCGTGTGTGTTTACCTTGCCCGGAGTTCAGAGTGCCCTAGACACTCACGACAAGTGGCGCCCGAATTCAGGGACTCCGAAGGTCGCTTAGGAAGGTAAGTATAATTTTATTACGGGGAAATGGGACAATCTGCTTCCTCTCCTTTCTTAAAAATTCTTAAACATTTATTATCTATATATGGCATATCGCTCAGGTCAGCTGACTTGGATATGTGTATTGATACAATTAAAGAATATAATCCTTGGTTTCCAGATGAAGGAACTTTGGATGTAGAAGTATGGAGGAAGGCAAGGGTTAGTATAGAAAGGGCTATGCAACAGGAGGAGAAGATTCCTTTACGTTTTTGGGCTATTTGGTCGGTTGTGTACTCTTTATTAAAAGCTATGGAAGATGAACATATTGTAGAAAATCTTCAACTAGAAATTAAGCCAGTTATTCAGGAATTGCCCCTCACAGAGGAGGAGCAGAATGTAGTTCAAAATGACGCTATCGCTTTAAGTAGTGAAAAGGCGTCCAAACTAAAAGTAAAATCCACTACAGCCGACTCAGCTTTAGCTGCCGCAGCAATATCAAATTATGACAATCGCCCAATTTTACAGGCTATACAACATTTAACACAAGAGGTGAAACAACTCTCCGTTAAGCAAAACCCGCCTATAGTTCCCTCTGCACCTCCTCCATCTAACCCTAATTGGAGTAAAGCCAAGCTAGCTTTGGCTGATCTACCAAAATTAGGGGATTCTGATGAGGAAAAGCCTGCCTTTGCTTTCCCTGTAATCAGGCCTCAGCCAATAGATGGAGAGGCAGTTCCCCCTAGATGGGAAGCATTTAATATGGATGATTTAGCAAAATTAAAAAAGGCTGTAACCCTTTATGGCCCTCAGGCTCATTACACTAGAGAATTAATAACATCGGTAGCAGATCACTATGGTAATCTTGCTCCTTATGATTGGAAAGCCTTGGCCAAAATTCTTTTAAAGGAGCCAGAATATTTACAGTGGCACATGTGGTTTATGGAAGGTTGTGCGGAAAAGGCAAGACAAAAATGCTGATATAGTGATAGAAATGTTTTAAAAGATATTTTAAAAACTTTACCTCAATATTTTTCTCCGTTTGGACTTGTAATAGCACAGGATAAAATTCAAAAGGAAGAAGTTAGTCATTATTTGGGATATATTCTTACTAGACAAAAGGTGATTCCACAAAAAATGTCTATTAGGAGAGATAAGTTATCCACTTTAAATGATTTTCAAAAATTATTAGGGGATATTAATTGGCTTCGTCCCACACTAGGTATTCCTACCCATGCATTACAACATTTGTTTGCTACTCTACAGGGCTCTTCAGATCCATCCAGCCCTCGTTCTTTAACAACAAAAGCCGAGCAAGAATTACAGTTTGTAGAACAACGAATTAAGGATGCATTTTTAATTAGGATTGATCCTAAATTGCCTCTAACTTTATATATTATTAATACTTTTCAATATCCCTCTGCAGTTTTAGGTCAAAATGCTATGCCAGTAGAATGGGTATTCACTAAAACTAAGCAATCTAAAAATGTTATGCCTTATATTGACATGATTGCAGCTTTAATTATGAATGGTAGAGCTCGTTCTATAACTTTGATAGGAGAAGATATAAACAATATAGTTATCCCTTTAACTAAGGAACAATGGGAATATTTGTTGTCAATTACTGAAACCTTACAAATTGCTTTAGCAGATTTCATGGGAACTTTTTCATATCATTTTCCTAAAAGTAAATTATGGGATTTTTTTAGACGTCAACAATTTGTGGTTAATACCTTATTAGCTGTACAGCCAATTCCACAAGCTTTGACTATATTTACAGATGGATCTAAAAATAAAGCTGCATATTGGACTCAAAAATCTTACTGGGTACGTCAGACAAATTTTAACTCTGTACAACAAAATGAACTTTTTGCTATATTACAAGTGTTTTTAGATTTTCATAACCAACCTATTAATATTATAGCCGATTCGGCCTATTCTGTTGGAGTAGTGACAAATATCTATTCAGCTGTGTTATATTCTAATAAGCCTGCTTTATTGTCTTTATTTCAAAATTTACAAATACATGTTCAAAAAAGAAATCATTCTTATTTTATTACTCATTTACGTTCTCATTCTCAGTTACCCGGACCATTAGTATCAGGTAACAATGCAGTGGATTCCTTAGTTATGTTCACCACACCCGTTGAAGAACATCAATTTAATCATGCAAATGCAGGACATTTGCATCTTAAATATAAGATACCTTTTACAAAAGCTAAACAGATTGTAAAAGCTTGCCCTATTTGTAGACCATTACATTTAAGAATTATTCCCGCAGGTGTCAACCCTCGAGGAACTCAACCTAATGAATTATGGCAAATGGATATTACACATGTACCTTCTTTTGGTCGGCTTTCTTATGTACATGTAGTTATTGATACCTATTCTTCATTTCTATGGGCTACTGCTCAACAGGGAGAATCCACTAAAAATGTTATTGTACATTTATTGGAGACTTTTGCAGTTATGGGAATTCCTTCTAAAATCAAAACAGATAATGGACCTGCTTATACTAGCAGAACATTTAAACAATTTTGTGATCTCCATAATATTATTCATATTACAGGGATTGAATATAACCCCCAGGGTCAAGCTATTGTTGAAAGAGCACATGGCACTCTTAAGTTGCAAATTAAAAAATTAAAAAGGAGGAGTCAGGAGGATATTCAGATACCAATACTGTTTAAATTGCAAAACAGTCCAAAAACATTACTGCATCAAGCATTGTTTATTTTAAATTTTCTCAATTTACCACAAGGTGAAATATTAACAAGAGCTGAAAAACATTTTGAACAGCAACAACAGCCTTTTGTGATTAATGAACCTATTTGGACTAAAACAGCTCCAGAGGCTGAATGGGAGAGGGGCACATTGCTCTATAGGGGGAAAGGTTTTGGTTATATCTCCACAGAAAATGGAATTCAGCAGTGGGTCCCTGGACGATGGATCAGGACCCGCGTCTCCAGATCCTGTTCACCAGCCCCGGAGACAACTCCCCAAGGAACCGGAACCGTGCCTTCAGAAGCGAGCGCGAAACCAGCTAGAAGCTGAGGATGCTGAGTTTGTTCCTATCGCAGCCATGGCCAGATTACAGCTAAGAAAATCCCGCCGCTCACAGCGACCAAATTTAAATCCCCTCCCTACATGGGGACAATTAAAGAAATTGACCATAGAAGGGCAACGGCTTGTCCTTCAAGCAGGAAAGCCTTTAAACCCCGAAAACTTGTTTTTAGCTTTATGTGCCTTGCTCACCGTTGCATCGGGGACTGAGGTACCTCCGCATTCGTACTGGGCATATATTCCAAACCCCCCTTTATTAGAACCTGTAAAATGGGGAACTAGTGATATTTTACTTTTTACCACACCTAGAGAAATTTTGTCAGCACCGTGGGCTGATTTAACCCCCCACAATCAAGATGATGGGACACTATTCAGTTTTACTTATTATGGTAATCAAAGGCCTATTTGCATTGGGGAACCGCCTTGCATCCCTCTGGGATGGCAGTATTGGATTCAACATGGAATAAAAGCAGGCAACAAAAGGACAAGGCTTCAAGCCTTGGCTGCTCAAACCTTTAATGTTACCTGGAAAAATTTAACAGCACCTGATACAAATACATTTCCTGTATGCCCTGAATTCACTTATAAAAATATTTCTTATAATCCCATAATTTGGCAACTATGTATGGGAAAATTTGCTAAAAATATTGATGGGTATATTATTTGGGGACCATTTGGAAAATTCGTTAATGGATGTGCTGAATGGAATGAGACAAGATGTAATCTCTCTGTTGTGTATAGTCTTCCAGATCCAAAGAAAATAACTGACGGAGCTCCTATATTTCAACAAAAGACGGCTCTCTTGTGGTGGGGAGATGGTGGAATCGCTAACCCTGCTGTTGCAGCCGAAGAATACCCTCATCACCTTCAAAATCATATTTGGAAGATCCCAGCCGCTATGCAACCTGTAACCTTGTACAATGTTTCATATTCAGGGACTAGTCGATCTGTATCTACTACTTATAATTTTACTAGGTTTAAAATGTATAATATTACTGTTTGTGCACCTCTACCTTATGTCTTTTTAGTGGGAACTTTTAATTTTACACATTTTTCTTGTACTTGTTTAAATTGTCAATTGTTTACATGCTTAAATAGCACACTAAATTTCACTAAGCCTTATACAGTTATGCTGTTACAACAAAAAACTCATATTTGGTTGCCTGTAAATTTAACTCGACCTTGGTCTCAAGACCCGGTAATTTCTGTTACTACTGAATTTTTTAAACATCTGTTAAAACGTACAAAAAGATTTATTGGAATAGTGGTTGCTGTACTGTTAAGTCTGATAACTGTAGCCTCCCTAGCAGCAGTCTCAGGAATAGCTTTACAAACCTCTTTGCAAGAAAAACATGTTGTAGAATTATGGCATAAAAATTCTCATGAACTTTGGTTAACTCAGTGGCAAATAAACGTCAGACTACAACAACAAATAGACCTCCTTAAACAAACAGTTGAATGGATGGGTAGAAAAATATTGGCTCTTCAGCATCAAGTGTTTTTAAAATGTGATTGGAATTCAACTACTTTCTGTATAACCCAACGACCTTATAATCAGACAGAACATGAATGGGAAATGATTAGAATGTATTTAAATGGAAACACCTCTGCCCAGGAGAAAATAGAATCTTTGCATAATCAAATTGACAAGGATTTTGCAAAGCAAAATGATGATGAATCTCTAGCACAATTCGCGCAATTGCTTGCTCAATCTTTGAAAGGATTAGATTCCAAAGGAATCTGGCAGAGCATTACCCACACTTTTAGTGGCATGGGACTTAGTTTAATTATAGTTCTCATTGCCATAGTTCTTGTGTATTTTTACTGCATAAGACGAAATGCTATTAATAACCTGATCTTATGGAAATTGTTGTTAAAAAATAAAAAGGAAGGAAGTGTGGGGGATGAGGTGTCACTTTGTAGGCCCAACCCCCTCTAACCTGCAATTTACAATAGCCGCCCTGGTATGCGAGAAGGAGGTAGAACGGGAATGCCTGTTCTCAGTGAGCCCTCACCCTCTGGAATCCATACTGTGAGCTGGCTTTGTTTTGCAGAAGTCTTGAGGAAGTGGCTGGCCACCCTTTGTGACACTAACAGCAGACAAATTAACAACATTCTTGAGCTAATGAATTTCTTCCTGGGCTAGAGAGGTTATGAGAACTGGTTGTGATTATTTACTTCACTTAGATAGTTTTAGAATAAACATTGTAGTCTGTCACGTTGTAGCTTGCCACAAAGAATGCCTTTTCACTACTTAATTATCTGGGCTCTGTGAATTGATCGGGTTTACTATATATGAATCCTAAAATAAAGATTGTGCGTACAGTGCAGTGCAGTGCAGTGTAACGCGGTGCAGACAGCAAAGGTGTCTCTCCTGTCTTTCTTTTCCAAGCGCTGTACCCCCCGTGTCCCGACAAGGCGTGCGTGTGTGTTTACCTTGCCCGGAGTTCAGAGTGCCCTAGACACTCACGACATCCCATATGCCTCACTTGGCCATATACCCAGTATTTTGAGCTGCAAAAGTAATAACCGAAATAGGTAATGATACTCAGGTCCGAGGTGGAGTGAATGTTGGAGGTGGTTTTGCAAAATCAACAAATATTTAAACAGATTAATGCTGCTAGCAGCTACATTCCTTGTCTAGTCACCGAAGGAGAAGAAATAATGAGCAACTGGTTTCTTTATTTGTAACACTGCCACTGCAGCCCGCAGACAGCTGTGTGTCTTACCCCAGGGGGTCCCCTCTATCGACAGAGGTATCAGCAGGTTGGAAACACATTTAATTGATCACATAATTGGAGGACATGGAGAGATATAAAAATGAAATGGGGAACAAAAGCTGAGCTCACACAGAGCAATGGATGCTCTCCAAAGCTTCTCAATTTGTCTCTGAAATATGGCCAGATGGCCCCTGGGCTTCCTGCCACACATCTGCAATGCAGGGTCTCCGCACACACAGTCACCTCCGTGGGTCAGCCACAGCCACTCAGAGCCAAAGATCCAGAAGAGCCCCTTCTCCTCAGAGCACTAAAGCAGGAGGGTGAGCCTCGCACCTGCCACCAGCATCACACTGTGTCTGTGCACACTCACAACACAGCGTCCACCCACATCAGCGAAGCCCTCCAGGCCAGTGCAGGGGACCCCAGGAGATAGACACTGAAACTCTCTTCTTCTCATCCCCTCCTGGCCTGGATCTCACACAAGGATGAGTGTCCTGCTTCAATATCTGTTCCCCAAGCTCCCCACTTAGACTATGTGGACACTTAGCACTGTCTTCAGACTGCTACAAAACTCTTCACGGAATCCCTGCGCTCTACCCTGCTTCACTCAAAAAACCCCAGGCTCCGTGCCCATCGTCTGCTTTGTCCAGGGGCCTGGGCTTTTAAACCACCCGCAGCCCCAAAGCCAGGAGCCCCACTTTCAACATGCACATGTCTCCCAGCAGAGGTGCTTTCCAAGCCACCCGGTGATCTAGCTCTACCCCCAGCACACTGGTTCCACAACGCAGTCAACAATCACCTTGTTTCAGGGATCCACCCACACCCACATTTCCAGCAGCACAATTCACTGGCTGAGAAGCGGAGGCACCCTGTGTCTCCATCAATAAACGAATGGATAGAGGGAATGTAGTACATACACACAAAGAAGTGCTATCCGGGCCTAAAGAAGGATACATCTGAGTCATTTTTAGAAAACAGAAGCACTATAAGGGAAATAAATCAGGCACATAAACTTAAATATTCCGTGACTTTTCTTTCATGAAGAATCCAAGTATAACTAATTTAAAGGGCAAATACAAGAGATGATGGGAAGCCGGGAGGCAGAGAGTGTAGAGATGGAAGAGAATCCAGAGAGGCAGGAAGGGAGGGAGGACAGAGGGCGAGGTGCGATGGTCTGAGAACCGACTGCCACCATGAGTGGACTTCTGTGTCACAAACAAGCACTGACAAACTCGGTCACAGCGCACATCTTTCACTCCCACTGTTTCTGCTCCTTCCTCTTCCCTGTCCTCAACCTCTTTGCTCAGCAGGATCCTAAACTGTCCTAGATGTCCACAGGACAGCCCGCCTGGATTCCTCAACCATCACTGAAGGCCATGAGGGCCAAAGCAGAACTTCTTGTCCTCTGCCCCCCCCCAACCAGAGCAGATACACAGCTGACCTGCCGTGGTTTTGATCTCCCATTTTCCCCAATGCCTGGTGCGCTCAGAGGCGAGGTGTGGAAGGACTGTGGATCACTGGGACAGTATAACTGACCTGCTGCTGGGCAGTGGCACCTGGCTAGGGGCAGCCACAGTCATCCTGCGAAAATCTGCACCTCCCTGCCTGGATGCTACCTTCTCTCTCTGCTTCCTGGCTGCCATGACAGGAGCAGATTTCCTCCACCAGACCTTCCCACCATGCTGTCTCTGCTTGGAGTCACCTGCCCATGGGGAGAAAGGGACAGACATCAAACCCTCCCAGGTTCCTGGGGCAGACTCTATTGTATAGAGCACATCTGGTCCATTTGTGTACCCCACAAGGCAGCACTGAGACCAGAATTCTGCACTCAGGTTTGCAGGGTTCACATCCCAGTGGGTCCTGTGACCTCCAATCTGAACTCAGTGGGCATGGAAAGGATTTGGGAATTCCCATTATTGAAAGTCTACTCTAGAGAATCTGATGATCCACAGATTCCAGCACCACAAAAGGCTGTAAGCCTCTTGTCCTCTCTTGTCATTTGTCATACTTATTCTAGTGGAAAGCACAGAACATAGATATAAACTTCGTTTTGTGAGTTGGGAATTTCTAGTTTAAAAATTCCACCTGATTTTCAGAATAAAGTGAGCAAAGAGAAGAGAAATTATTCACAGACAGTGCTTTGACTTTGAGCTTGGCAGCATTTACAATGGATTCTGAGGTACTGGTGCCAGTGGAGGAGGGTGGTGATGCGGTGATAGCAAAGGAGGAGCAGGAGGAGAGGTCGCCATCCCCGCGCTGTTCTCCAGTAGTCATGGCAGAAGGTGAAGAGCACCAGGGCTGGAGCCAGGCGGCCCCAGAGCTCATCCAGAATGCACCAAGGCTGGAGATGTGCGGGAATTTTCTTAAACCACAAAACATGGGATCTACTGAATAAAAATATATTCACCCAGGGTAAACTTGGTATCCATTGAGTAGGAGCCCCCGGTAAGATTAAATCACATGGGCTATGCAACATAACGACCCAACATCAGCTATAATTTCCTTTATAGCCTTAAGATTTAAGAAAGTCTGACCTCTTTTTATTATTAAATATTTCCAGAGAATTATACTGCATGACACTGAGAAGACCAGAGTGGAAGTCCTTGTTCTCATTCAAGTGTCACTCTATGCTTTATTTTATTTAGGAAGAACCTGCAGAAATGGTGCTAAACAGCAACCCTGACCAACCAGGTGAACAAGATGATTACGTTCCCTTACTACGGGATATTTTAGGGAGAGAAATGTTAATTAAGGGTTTAAACTCTCAAAGGCTACTATGCTATTTTGATAAGCATGTGTGAGTAGAGCAAGGAGTTAGAGCATTAAACTCTTCATAGGGGATGAAAGAGCTTAAACTTTAAGATGTTTTTAAAAGGTCAGGAAAAAGGTTATGAGTCTCTAAAATATATATGTAATTTATAATCTCTACCTCCATTTATAGGCTTATCACGGCTGATCCATCTTCAAATATATTGACTCTATTTAACAGTTTCTCTCAGACTCAGATTAGGCAAACACTGTTTGCTTTTCAAAACAGCAAAACATGATATGGTCAACAGGAGCCTTCCACGCGTATGGGAAATGTGCTCTAATAAAAAAACTATTCTTTCCATACATGCATTTCCTATGAATTAGTGTACCTTTTGTGGTAGGATTAAATTTGGAATGTCATGAACAATTTTACTTTGGGTGCTGCATGTGGGGCCTATAATTTGACTGATGACAATAAGAAGTTAAAAAGAAAACCCTACACTTTAAACCTAAACAAAAATAAATAAATAAATAAACCTAGACAAGGCTGCCCAATAAGACATTAGACTCTTTTTCTACATTGTGATCTGACATCTGTTAACTTTATTTTTTTTTTCAAGAGAATAAAACCAAACAAAATAAAACCGAAAATGAATCAAAACAAAACAATGAAAGTGAAACAGGATTTCAAAGCAAGATAACAGGAAATCAACAAGAAACCAACAATGGCTGCTATGATGCCTTTTCTTATCTTCAGAATGTCTGCCCATAGCAGCATATCTAATGAAATCAAATCAAACCGATTCTTTCACTAACCATACACCCCAGGTCGTTCTGTTAAGATCGAGCCCTTATTTCTCCGTTTCCGACTCACCCTCACCACATGCTGTCCTTTAGGGCCCACTGTCCCTGGTTCACATAACTTCTTCTATAAATCCTTCCTTTGTCCTTCACCACTGGCAATGAATCTCAGACTATGTGTATTTGTTTTGACTGATTTCAAAATTTTCAGTGTTGTTTTAATCATGATTTTCTTAAAATTAACTGTTTGTAAAACTATAACCTTCGTTCATTCATGTCAGATTAATTTCAAAGCATCATGAATCTACAGTCTCTATATCTAAGGTACAGAAGTGACAAATTTTATGGCATATTTACATTTAAGACTACATCTTACTCATAGCTGTATGTATAATGTTCAATTCTTTAACATTTACCATGACAAGGATTCCTTGTCATGCTGGAATGCCACAGGGCATAGAATTATTATGTACTTGGTCAGATTTTATAATGCTTGAGTGTCTTTAAATTATACTTTGACCACTTGTCTTTTTAACTACAAAAATGAATTTTACTTTTACAAATTTTACATCAAATATAAATATATGTTATTCAGAAAACAATCTGATCTAGAATTATCACCTCATGGTTTTTAAATTTCATAAATAGTTTATGAAATATCTTTTGTAAAATTAAGTTTCTAAATTTTAGTAATTGCATAGGCAATAGTAACGGTAGGCAGAAAAGAAAGACAAAGGCAGGGAAAGAGCATTTCTTACATGTAAGAGATTGTACTCTACACTTTGTGGCTAAAAAAGAAAAATGTGCGGCACTGTCCTCCCGGAGCCTGAACTCAGTCTCTGAGTTTTCAGCCCAATCTTCACAATCTCCTCCGGCAATAACCATCGCAGTGCATGATGGGACAGTAGGTTTATAGACCATGGGAAAATAAAACGGGGTGGGTAAAAATGGAGCAGCACTGTGGTTACCTTGGAAACCTCCAGGAATGCCTAAATGTTGGGAAGTGACAGATTCAAGTTAAAGAAAATCATATCTTTTCCTAGACTCCACACCATCACCGGAAATACTCCCTAACGGAAGGGATTACATTTG